ATACTATACTATACTATACTATACTATACTATACTAATATAATATAATATACTGCTGATATAGAAGGTCGTCATTGCAGAGAACCCTGGGATCCTCCTGTGCAATGCCCACCGCGTCAAATCAAGAGTGAATGAAAACGAACTGTTTGTATTCACTCGTGATGGAATATGAAAACTCTTTTCCCTTACATACTGTCTGTGCCAGCAATATAAAAGGTCTATTCGCGTGCGGTTCGTTATATACATGGAATCAGGAGTGAACGAAAACAAAGGCGTTTTATTCACTACTGATGGAATTAATATGTTTGGTTCCCTTCCCTACGTCTAGTATCTGATGAATGCCAATTACAGCATTGAAGACTATTCNACACACACACACACACACACACACACACACACACACACACACACACACACACACACACACACACACACACACACACACACAAACACACACACGAGTTACAACCCAGACGTCACGTTCTTTCTAAGATATTCATGTGTGTCGGTGTCGGTGTAGTGAGTCAGCATTTGTTATCAAGGCGTCTCCCTCGCGGTGTTGTGTGATTACGTAAATCCGTCTGCAAATATTGACATCTCAGGCGCGACTTCTTCTTTATACGTTATATCTCACTACAGGCGCGGATTTAATACTTTTATATCTAATAATTAAAATCAAGATGGCGTGTGTGTGTGTGCGTATGTGTGTGTGTGTGTGTGACCGCGGCGTCTTTCCTTGCCTCCACAGGACGCGATGTCTTACAATAAGTTCAACGTCTTCCACTGGCACATCGTCGATGACCAGTCGTTTCCATACGTCAGCACAACGTTCCCCGAACTCTCAGAGAAGGTAACAGCAGGAACGACGCATCATAGATCTGTCTGTAGTAGGTCTACCATAAATGAATAAATAAATAAATAAATAAATAACTATATATATATAAATAAATATATTTTTTAGGGTAGTACAGCCGCTTGTAATATTTTGGTTTTGTTCTTTTCCCTCTTTCCTTTTTTCTTTCTTTAGCGCTCCCCCTCTCACCCCTCTCTCTTCCTCTCACTCTCTCTCTCTTTCTCTTTCTCTCATTCTCCTTGCATCTCTTCTTCCCTCTCCTGTCAGGATGATGACAACGTTGCTTGACCGTTACAGGGCGCATATTCCCCCAAGCACATCTACACGCAGAAGGAGGTAAAGGAGATTATTGACTATGCCAGGGATAGAGGCATCCGGGTCATTCCCGAGTTCGACACTCCCGGACACACGATCAGCTGGGGACAGTCTCATCTTGGTGCGTATTCCGCTAGCTATAACATGATATGATGTAATAAAAAATACATTGTAGGGTTGGGGTTAGCTTTAGGGTTAGCGTTAGGGTTAGGATTAGGGTTAGGTTTAGGGTTAGGGTTAAGGTTAGGGTTAGAGTTAGAGTTAGGGCTAGGGTCAGGGTTAGGGTTAGAGTTGGGTATAGGGTTAGGGTTAGGGTTAGGGTTAGGGTTAGGGCTAGGATTTGGGTTAGCTGACACACACACATACACACACACACACACACCCACCACACACAGCACAACACACACACACCACACACACCACCACATACACACACACACACACACACCACACACACACAACACACACACAAACACACACAAACACACAAACACACACACACACACACACACACACACACACACACACACACACACACACACACACACACACACAAACACACACACAAACACACACACACCACACACACACACACACACACACACACCAAACACGGTGTTAACACGTGCCCGTATGTGTTTAATGATGCGAATAATAAGAGTTAGTTGAGACACACACGCGTGTGTGGCTATACATACATGTTAATTAACACTGTCCGTGCGTGTGTACCTTCAGAGCTCCTCACACCGTGTGTGGGGCTACATACATACATGTTAATTAACACTGTCCGTGCGTGTGTACCTTCAGAGCTCCTCACACCGTGTGTGCGGCTACATACATACCTGTTAATTAACACTGTCCGTGCGTGCGTACCTTCAGAGCTCCTCACACCGTGCTGGGGCGACGGCGAACACCCGGGCACTGCCAACTACACGCAGCACGCTGCCTACGAGATGCTCAACCCCATGGAGAACACGACTTACGAATTCCTAGAGAAGCTGTTCACAGAAGTGAAGGACATCTTCCCTGACGACTACATGCATCTAGGCATGGACGAAGCCTACCCTTACTGCTGGTGCGTAGGGGCAATAGTCATGTAGTAGTATAATAGTGGTAGTAGTGGTAGTAGTAGCAGCAGCAGCAGCAGTAGTAGAAGTACTATTACTACTAGTAGTAGTAGTAGTAAATAGTAATATTAATAATACTAATAATAATAATGCGTGCGTGCGTGCGTGCGTGCGTGCGTGCGTGCGTGCGTACGTGCGTACGTGCGTACGTGCGTGCGTGCGTACGTGCGTACGTGCGTGCGTGCGTGCGCGCGTGTTTTGGTACACGCCCTTAATGAGACCATCCAGTACAGAACAGCAATCTCGTCTCACACACACGCAGGCAGTCCAATCCGAATATCACCTATTTCATGGAGCAGAACGGAATCGAGGACTATGGCAAGCTGCAGGAATACTACACGATGCGGGTTCTGGACATCATGAAGAAGTTAGAGGCCAAATACATCATTTGGCAGGACCCGATAGACGATGGAGTTGTGGTGAGTATATATAGCTCGAGCTACGCATGCAGGGCTTGTCCTTGGTTTCTCTCGGTCATCTCTGAATGTTCTGGAAAGTTCTGGATTTCAGGCAGTCGTCTGACTTCATGAACTGCAGTGAGCACCATTGGTCACTCGCGGATATAATCTCGATAATTCTTAATGGAATTATAATTCTGCTGTGATCTGATGATTTTTATAATGATTCTATAATCCTGTTCTTCTAGTAATCAGAAGGAATTGACCGCGTATATAGATGAAGGTAGGGTGCCTATATACAGATATCTGTATATAGGGACCCTAGATGAAGGTTTTACGAGGCGACCTCTCGCGGACAAACGTGCAGACAATTGAGCATCGGCGACACGGCAATAACTAACCTGTATGATACAGGCGGTTTCGGTTCCGCTTCACTACACTAACCGCCTGTACCCCTTGGTAGCACTTAGTGTAGTGAACCGGAACCGGAACCGCCTGTATCATACAGGTTAGGCAATAACTTGATATCAGGAGTGTAGAATATAGACTCTATAAATCTAATATAGATTTTATATATCTAATATAGATTCTATATATCTAATATAGATTCTATATATCTAATATAGACTCTATGTATCTAATATAGATTCTATATATCTAATATAGACTCTATAATCTAATATTGATTCTATATTACACACTCCTGTTGATATCAAAAGTGCATTTTAAGCCGCGCGTATTTACGTGATGAGATTTAGAATGTTTGCGGGCGCCACCTATAGGCCGATCCTAACACGGTGGTTGAGGTGTGGAAGAACTTCACCGACATCCCGGCGGTAGCAGCACATGGTTACAAGATGATTCTATCCTCATGCTGGTACCTCAACTACATCAGCTACGGTCAGGACTGGAAGATTTATTATCTTTGCGACCCATACGCATGGAACGGTAAGATAATGGTATTATCATGAGTGAATAATACTTTATACATGTACATTATATATAATTATATGTACATTATATACATTATGTATTATTAGCTCTTAATTGATATTATGTGGAGATGAAAATGAACTGAAAGACGCAGCATTAACAACTGAAAATTAATGAAATTAAATTCAACGCACAGACAAATCCGTTCACCTCACGCAGCAACGCATAAGGTCAGCATGAAACTGACTGCTCGTGCACCATCCACCACGACGCGAATATAACGTTAACCCATCTCTCCCCATCTCCCATCTCCCCATCACTATATCACCACAGCAACGCCACGCAGCGTGTGCAAATAACCGCCGATGTGTGCGTACCGTAAATATATTGCGGGCAAACACACGTGAATCCTTGCCTTCGCTGCGCAGGAACCGATGAAGAGAAGAAGCTGATGATAGGAGGAGAGGCGTGTATGTGGCACGAGTACGTGGATGGAACCAACCTGCTGCCTAGACTTTGGTGAGTAATGATACACAGCGACTATATTAACCACTGTGTACACACAACACTGAGGTTAATGCAGGGGACGTCATCATTGAATAAATATCTTCCCCCACATATCTCGATAACATTGAATATCTTCTACTGCCTCGATATCATAGTAACACCTGTCAGTTGCCCAATCAGTTTAACCCTAACCGATATTGAAATGTGTCATTTATTTGATTTCCGTGATCTAGCTTTCACAGCGATAGTATAAGGCTGATTGTCTCAATGAATATGCTTACACAGTCAGCGTGTACGTTTACATAGTTAGCAAATCTCGGCCTACGTGATAAAATAAATCGTTTACATTAATCTTTCTGATATCGATGGCAAGCGCACTAATGCAATGATTGCATTGTGACGGAAATGTAAATAACGCACCACGCCGCGATGTCGCATGCGATAAGACGCACACGCACGCACGCGCGCACACGCACGCACGCACACACGCACGCACGCACGTACGCACGCATACGCACTCACGCACACAGAAACACGCACGCACGCACATGCACGCACGCACGCATGTACGCACGCACGTACGCACGCACACGCACGCACGCACACAGAAACACGCACGCACGCAAACAGAAACACGCACGCACGCACACACACGCACGCACGCACACACACGCACGCACGCACACACACGCACGCATGCACGCACGCACACAGAAACACGCACGCACGCACACACGCACGCCGCACGCACGAACACACGCAGAAACGCGCACACGTGCACTCACGCACACACGCACACGCACGCCGCACGCACGCACACACGCACACACGCACACACGCAGAAACACACACACACACACGCACGCCGCGCGCACGCACACACGCACACACACGCACGCGCAGAAACACACACATACGCACGCACGCACGCATACAGAAACACGCACGCACGCACGCGCGCACACAGAAACACGCACGCAGTGGCACCCGCAGATAGAAGCACTGGAAGCACAGTGCTTCCAGTAAATTTTGGGTTAAACAATTTTGTTCCTACATTTTGTTCCTAAATCTCTCTCGCAAGACTCACCAGATTGCATCTCCAGACGTCTACCATTCAAAAATTTTCAGGAAGGAGGCATGCCCCCAGACCCCCCTAGCATGCAGCGCGCCTATGGCGCTTGCTTTTTATTAGCACTGAAGATTTTATCCTTCTGTGCTTCTACTTTCTTAAGACCTGTGAGCGCCAGTGCACGCACGCATGCACAGACACGCACAGAAACACGCACGCACGCACGCACGCACGCACGCACGCACGCACGCACGTACGCACGTACGCACGCACGCACGCACGCACACACACACACAAATATATTATTATATATAGCTTGTATACTGCGCAGGCCCCGCGCCTCGGCGGTGGCTGAGCGACTCTGGAGCGCGAGGGAGGTGAACAACACCGATGACGCCATGTACCGCCTGGACGAACATCGATGCAGGATGTTGAGGTAACCAATAGCAACAGAACAAACACAGTACACGAGGATAGAAGGAGATACGGGGGAGGGTTCATTCCCAGTTCCCCAGGTAATAAAAATGTGCCGTTTCTCAGTTTTCCAGTTAAGTATAATCGCAATTCATGATCAGGGCAAAGCAAGCATATTTAATCCTAATTAAGTATAATTAAACACGATCGAGCCACGTCGTGGTGACGTTCGCAGCATCCTGTGTCATTTAAGGTACGTGCGATACGTCACGCTGAAACACTGGCACAGGTGAGTCGTTGTTTCACGCTCCGTTAACGATACGTATATACACGCACCGCCTTGGGGAACGAGCTAGCATTACGTACGCTGCATGGGCGAGAGCCGCGATCACGATAGTACAGTTTGATGCTTCGAAAAAATGCGTAGAATGTCGCCCCCAAGCAAGGTCACACGCGAGGTCACTCACGCGCTACTCGTCTGTGATTCTTTACTATGTCTTATTTTACCTCGTAGCAACGTTAGACAACGCGACTGTTACGAGTGCTGCTGATACTGCAGGAGAGGGAGAGGGAGAGAGTGGGTGAGAGAGAGGGAGAAGAGGAGGAGAGAGAAAGAGAGAGACAGAGAAACAAAGAGACACAGAGAGAGGGAGAGAGAGAGAGAGAGAGAGAAGAGAGAAAGGGAGAGAGGGAGAGAGAGAGAGAGAGAAGAGAGAAAGGGAGAGAGGGAGAGAGAGAGAGAGAGAGAGAGAGAGAGAGAAAGAAGAAAGCGAGAGAGGGGAGGAGAGGAGAGAGAGAGAGAGAGAGAGAGAGAGAGAGAGAGACGAGGAAATAAAGAGGAAATGACGGCGCGTGCGAGATAGCGATGAGGCTCACACGTGTCCAATTATAAAAATAATAATAATAATAATAATAATTATTATTATTATTAGTAGTAGTAGTAATAGTTGTTGTTGTCGTTGTTGTTGTCGTCGTCGTTGTTGTTGTTGTTGTGTTGTTGTTGTTGTACTGGGAGAATTGTCATCACATTCTATTTTATTCCATCTGCGTCTTCAGGCGAGGAATTCCTGCGCAGCCTATCCTCAACGGTTTCTGTGGAGACTACGAGGAGGGTTGGGAGAAGGAGGAGCCGAAGAAGAGCGCCGGAGGAGTCGTCACCACTCCCACCACCATCCTCGCTCTCCTTGCCGCGACAGCCTGGCTACTGCTAGCGGCGAAGTACTAGCCATTAACAAGTGTCAAGCCGTCTTTGTGTAGATTATATAGAAATTGGTTTGATACGCGATGAAGCTAATACGCGCACACGGCGCGGATGTATGATGGTGTTGTTCGGTTAAATAGATCCTTACGAAGTTCACTGGGAAGAATTTCCAGCGCGCTCTTAGAAGGATAGCTGACGTGAATGTATTGTTAAAATGAGATGCATTTTATTTCGATTGGTAACGTCAGCATACCATCTTACGCAATGGTACGGCAATACTTGAAGTGATTTTTAGCTCGGAGCGAGTCGTTCATCGCCTCTCAGGTGACAGTATTGGTAGCTTATGTGAAAATAATTTTACAAACTACGATCACGCACATTTACGTGCATTTACGTCTCACGGACTTGTAGATGATTCTAAAAACCATTAAAATATTAATCTTTATGCCCGTGTTGAACATTCTGCAATAGTGTTGCAGTCGATCGAGATTGAAATGAGTTATATTTAATAAAAATCATTACTCATTATATACATTACAATATTCTTGATTTGTCTGTTTTACGAATTTGTGATGATGTATGAAAAGTTGAAACATCAGGCTATGCACTACGGTGCAAGTCCTCTCCCAATCCTAGACCCCAATGAGGTATGTCACAAGACAGGTTTCGTATGTTTTCATTCTAACAAAATTAGATAACGTGACGTATATCGTAACTCATCGCAACTCCACGTAATGTTACACAACATAAAATGACATAGCATTCCATTCCATTACATGACATAACGAAGCGTGGCGGGACGCATCGTGACATGACATAACGTGACGTAACGTGACAGGACGTAAGATAACGTTACGGAACGTGATGTAATGCAATGCAATGCAACGAAACTCAACGAAACGTAAGGTAAGGGGGATGTGAAGTAATGTGATTCAACGCGACGTGCTGCAACGTAAAATAACACAATATGACACGTAATGTAATGTAGTGTAATGTAAGATGACGTAACGTTACGGGATGTAACGTAACACAGCGTGTAACATATCTTGCGAAAAACAGTTAGAGCTGTTTACTATATGTTTCGCCAGGTGGCGCACAACAGTAGCAAACATGGCGTTCCTTGTGCAAACTATGACTTTTTCGATTAAGATCTGCGCCCCCTTGTGAGACAATAATAATTCTTGTTTGTTATGGTATTCTCCCTGTATATTTCATGGGTTTGGCCGTACTATCGTAAGCTAAACAGGTTTGTAAGTGATAGTTAGTAACTGGTAGTTGTAAACATAACTACCGTTGCACACAAATCGGTGTAGTGTGTGAGAAAACACAATTGTCCCTGAGTTGTTACACATGTCATAGGTATAACACTAATTTACTAGTCACTGCGACAGTGTCCGTGACACAGTCACAGTCAGTGAATCACTGAATGCCATCAATCATTGACATTGATCATTGGTTGCACACGTCGGGTTCGTGAATCGGGCGAGGACGACTCTATCATCTATGCTACGCCTAACCCGACCAGGCTGTGTGACTAACGTCAATATACATCTAGGGTATTCTAACCCTAGGAATACCGTTTCTTGGAGCTATGCTACGCCGCCCGTTCGCGGATTAGCACGGCCTATGCGCAGCATAGGCCTATGGCACGGCCCTTCACGCAGCAGCGATGCTTCAGCCTTCAGCACGCGTTGGTGTAGCTCTAGTACTATAGCCCGCGTACAGTTGCCGCAGGCGCCTGTAGGCCGCCTGCGGCAACAGGCGGTCTGCCGCAAGCTGCCTGCGCGGCAACGGCCGCCTGCAGGCCGCCTGCGGCAACTGTACGCGGGCTATATAGTACTAGAGCTAGCGTCGGTGCAGTGCGGGATGGTTCAGCATGCTGTCAAGTGCATTTTGCCCACTTCAATCCAGGGGAATGTTAACTTATTCCGGGAAAGTGTGTATTTAGCCTAGGATGGCATGTACACAGTACAGACTGAAGTTTTGGTTGAGGCCTGGCCTTGACTAGTTTTCTGTAGGATCACACGAGCAGTCTGATCACTGATCAGGAAAACTTAGCGCAGACATTTTTTACATTCTTGACAAAAATTCGTGATCGAGATCAGCCACTGATTCAACCCCCATCTAAATGCACCCATCGTTGACTAAATGTTTTTTCTATGTCCTGTATGTAGCAGAACAAGATGAGTTAACACAGACTGATAGAGCCATGAGTTGGGATCCGTTGAACGTGACCCATGGGGAGCTGGAGGGAAGCTTCCCATGGCTCCTGTTCTCCCTCGTCATCAGCATCATCTGGTAGGTTTACACTACATCCCAATAACATACATTACAGCGACATTTGGTCTAGCTCTAGCACTATAGCCCTAGTTCGCCACAGTGTGAATGTTGTTCGCTACACGCCTGTGTTCACCCCACGCCTGTGGCGAACAAGGGCTATAGTACTAGAGCTACACTTGGTATAACTTATCGAATCTATCTGACAGTAACACGCGTTCATGAATGAACATAATCCTCAGGTAACAGTCAAGCAACAACAAATCAAGTAACAACACAATTATATATATAAAAAAAACAAAGGTAGCTGGTGTAAATAGTGCAATAAATACTGTTATTTGAAAGAATATGTTTGTGAATTATTTGGTAATATTTATGCTATCAGTATAGCAATGAGCATTATCATAGATATTTGACAATGTCGGGTTAAATGCACAAATGTTCAGTATTTCTGTGATATTTTTACACAGTATAATTGTATGTACTGCTAATTACTGATGTGCTACAATGCAGCTTACGAGATGCCTGGGTGTGATTTTGATATGCGTAGGTACCTGTATTTGATCTACTACAACTCAAGAGTGCTAGGCATGATTCTCACAAAAGTTCTCAACAGACTATACAAGACAGGACATATCCAAATTGGTAAGCAGTGTGACGCTAACTACCTTTATAAGGTTAGTAATGCTCACATAAATCGTTAATCATATTCATAATTAATATTGAATCACAGTAGTGTGCTAATTATCAGTGTAGAAACTAGTTCTGTCGTAGGTAATTGTGTTACAGAACTATGTGGTACCGGTACGTATGTTGTAATTATTGATGTGGGATCTATAGTGATGTAACTACTACATGTACTACTGGCATGGAGGCTGAAGTTTTCCTTCTGTTTCTCGCCTGCACGTCGGATTTCACGCGATAAGTTTTCCGTCTTGCTAGGTTCTTTCTCGATGGCCATCCTCTCGGGAAAGATCATGTTCAGAGACGTTCACTTCATCAGCGAGGATTTGACCGTGCGAGTGCTCGACGGGTTTGCGGTCTTCCACTGGTGGCGCCCCTACGTGCGCAAGGAGATCACTGAAGGTACAGCATCCCTGCCGCGTCCACCAACCCGGCGCCCCCTGCCGCGTCCGCCAACCCGGCGCCCCCTGCCGCGTCCGCCAACCCGGTGCCCCCTGCCGCATCAATCGTCAGAGTCACCTGTAACATATATTGAACTGTTTAATTATATGTGATACGTGAAATATAACGTTTAAATTCTGCATCTTCGTCACCTTCTGCATCTGATAATAAAGGATATAATATATTATTACGGACATCGAATAAATAGAGTGTTACACTGATTCACCCCCGGGTTAAATTAATAAAAAAAAGACATTCATGATTTTCTGTCGAGACAATTCGTTGTGGTAGTACCGTATAGTGAGTAGAAAGCCATACCGTGACGCCACCTGGATCTGACCCGCGCGATGCTTGTTGCTATCGCCAGACATGTCGCATTCTGACACGAGACTCTACGTTGAGATGAACAGCGCGGAATGCCACGTCTACAACCGTAGCGCCCTCTATAGCAAGCTCGAGCAAATATTCGGCCTCGACTCAAACATGATTCCTCCGGATAAACTACAGGTGTGGGATGAGCTAAACGTAGGGAGAGGTGTAGAGCCTCGTAGCTTCTGACTGCAGTTTTCGTCTGCTTATTATATAGAGAAGATTCGAATGTTTCGGTTAAGTGGTTCAAGTTCGTTGCTGTTGGAAATTGTTTGTCTGCATAATTTCAGAGAAGCAGGTCGTGTGATTTAGGACCATTGTTGGTTACCGTGGAATTTGGGTTGTGAGTGAAATGCGGGATATCGTTGATTGCTAGTTGTTCTAGGGCTGATCAGCCATTACGGGGAGCCGGCTGGAACCTGATTAAAGTGATTAAAGTGATTACGTCACCGTAAATAGTAAAACAAAAATATATATTTCCACTTTTTCACAAAATATAAGTAATTCTGTTCACTTTTTATGGTAAAATTGCTGCATTATACTTCTTATTTTACTATATTGTTTGATGGGAACATATACTCGTGACTCATACATAGCCCATAGCAAGCAATTAATGTCAGGAACATAATATCAAATCGTCCACGATTTTTTGATTTTTAACTAGTTGAGAGGTAAGAATTATCAGATAAGAATTTGACGATACGTTTAGTCCCGTTAGTTCTTACTTTTAATGTAAAAAAATGGCAACACAAATTTTACAAATTTTACCATAGCAAATTCGTGACGTAGTCAATTTAAGCATCCGGAGTAAAATGTTCTATTTTGGTGTTATGACCCCCAGGAGTACGAGGCGAACGAGAAGAAGAGGGAGCAAGCGAAGCTGGAGATTGAGACGACTGGGTTGCAGTGGCGAGACCTCATCCCCGTTGTCAAGATCGAAATATTCGCGGTGAGCGAACTTAGCCCTAGCTGTGCGGTAGATTTCGGCATGTAAAAAATATATAAAAGTTATCGTAAATGAATAATTTTATGGATAGATCGCGGTCCGGTCTTATTAGTTGCATTATTAGTGCAGCTGATTTTAGATGCATGGTTATATAATGAAAACACATCATCAAGAAAAAAACCACTGTGAAAATCATACCTCGTTTTAAAATACTGAATAATACCGTAACAGAATAACGCCACGTAGCCAATAAATGGATCGTCGAATAATGCCAGCGTCGGGTTTGCATTTAACACGGCATCAATTTGTGTATAAAAACGACGTACGTTTGCGTTTAACGCATCGTCAGTTTGTGTTTAACGCGTCGTCATGACGACGATGTGTCTCGCGCAGGGTCGTCTGGTGGCGGGTAACCACCTGGTGCCGACGGCGCTGTGTGTGAACGTGGACGAAGCGCACCTTCTCTACACGACGAAGCCCGCCTCCAGTCCGCTCGACCGATTCCGCCATTTTGTCGACGGGAAGCTTGAGAATCTTCGCGTGATGCTGGCGCCGAGCCCGAAATACACGGGAACGAGCGACGAGTGAGTGTTGTAACAACCTGCGCGTTATATCGCGTCCATCCATCCCAAAGTCATGTCGTGTTCCTCCGGTGCTTTGCGCAGCTAACTGCATGTTTGTTGGCTTCTGTGAGGTCATCTTCAGTGCATGGAGCATGGAGTTGTGGACATATAAAAAGATGTTGCATTGTCTGCCTTTCACTGCAGTCACAGGTAGTACAGCAGTTGTAGAAGCCGCGATATGTGTGTATATACTAACCGGATATGCATGTTTACGTTCATACCTGTGTAGATTTTATATAAACAGGTCAAGCATGTCTTGTTTGAGATGCCTTGGGCCGAAAGAATCTTGGATTCAGGGATTTTTGGGGAGTTTGGAATGCCTTTACGTTGTATACCCCTAGGATGTCACATTGTGGCAACTCGGAAATGGGATCCAAGTTTAAGCACAAAAAACTCATTTATGTTCAATGCAATGTTTCTAGCCTGCACGTAGTTACAGTATATGAATTATTCTTAATAATTTCGTTCGTGATACACACCACGTACACCGAACACAATCAGAAAAGTAAAAAAACATCAAAAAAATGTTCAGACTTTTAGAGCTTTTCGATTTCGAATAAGGTATGCTCAACCTGTATCAACATCATTATTATTCAGGGTCATATTTTGCGTCTGCTACGTGTCTTCTGCCCCACGAGCTGTTCACTTGTCTTGCAGGCCGCCGCGCTACATGGGCGAAGGTTTCGTCGTGCTCAGTTCAAGCGAGATGCAGGTGTACTACACAGTTGACGAGCCAGGTAATCAACCTCCGTCATCGCCGTAACCATGGTGATGCCGACGTCATAATGCGCGTTCGAACAATAGACCCGCAGGCCGCACTACGGGACGTTGCGGTTCCTCTCGGGTAGCCCTCGTTACTTTGGAGTAAAATGTTGTGGACGCCATGTGGCCATGTAATTTTCACGTGAATTTACCGCCCGTTTTCCACTGTTGTTGGAAACGTTGAGAACGTGTTTCTCTTCATGTTATCTACCAGTGTTGCAGGGTTAGGTGTTATATTTTACCTGTATTGCTTTCATTCGTATATAGGACTGGTACCCGATGAGCCAGAGATGCTGGAGCTGGCTTCAGGAGAGAAGATAGAGACTCCCCCGCCGTACTGGGGGCTGGAAGTGAAGACAGGGAAGGGAACTAACTTCAGTTACGGTCCGTGGGCCGACCGTCAGAGGTGAGGGTCATGTAGCAGGAGCTGTAAGGTCTCCTGTCCTTCACAGATGTCGGGAGTATCGCTTGTGTTATTATCTACTTTTGCTAGAATGTATAATTAGGTTTTTCATGCTATAATAAGGTTATACTTTATGTGATGTCATCGAAATAATCGAACTCGGTTTTCACATACAGCACACCTATCCTTATATCCCAATATTATCCCATGTTCTATTGTAATTTGGTAATCAATAAAATTAATGATTAAAAGACATTTGGTGAGTTTTCTTTCGTGTTTCTGCTTGCAGGGAGCATCTATATAACTTGTTCTATCCGGCCGAGTACCAGCCTATCCCGGTGACAGTGAAACCACAGCCAGGGGAACTAAGGCAACCAGTATCGTTCGACATACAGATAAGCTGCCTAGACGATGCCACCATAGACATACTCTTCACCAAGAATAAGGTGATGCTTTTGTTTCCCATTGGGTGGGGTGAGCACATTTGGTCTACTTGGTGAGAAAGGGGTGGTTTGCTCTAGCACTATATAGTGTAGTGTCTGGTTTTTCTTCTCTATCTTCAAATTGAAATGTTGCCGTAATTGTTGAACGTTGTATATCAACGTCTTGCACAAATAAATTGTCTTGAAACCTTGAGTAGTTGTTGCCTCAAACCGAGACAAACTGGTCTATTTGTGTTCTCACTGTGAAGTCATCATACTGATTTCTCCACCTAAACTCACTGCCTATAGTAGATGAACTGGAGTGCTTGCGTGTACACTGTCAGGTCATGAGTATGCCATGCTACTAACAGCTCTCCCCTCATGCTCTCTCCCTATAGTAGAGACATCCATATCCTTGTGTCCTCAGCATAAAACTATCATACTCACTGCGCTCCCCTCGCGCTTCCCCGCATACAGGAGACGAATGCTCTGCACCTTAACATGGGTCCCGGCTCGTACATCGAGTGGTCCGTGCCGTGGGTGATCAGTGTGGATGGCTACACGGCGGTCATCGATGGCCAGCTGCTGCACATGGACACCAGCACCAGTCTCGAGTATCGCAACTTCATACAGGCAGAGACGCTGGAGGTGAGATGGCATTGTGTCATTAATGCTTAATTAACATTCTAATTGGTTAGATTTTAAGCACAACTTCATGCAGGCAGAGACGCTGGAGGTGAGGCAGCATTGTGTCATTACCGTTAAGGCTTAATTAACATTTTAATTAAAGTTACATAACATATTAGTTAACATTACTTAATTAACGTTTTAGTTAATCAGATTTTAAGCGCAACTTCATACAGGCAGAGACACTGGAAGTGAGACGGTGCTATATTAAGCTAAATTAACATAGTAATTGATTAGATTTTAACTGCAACTTCATACAGGCCGCGATGGCATCGTGTCGTTGATGCTAAATTACTTATCGTTTTAATTAAGTAGACTAATGGCATTACCGTTGATGTGACTGCGATTATAGAAACTGCGATATACATGGGGGGAAAAAAATTTAAATTCATTTTTTTTATTTGTTACAATAGTTTGAAATGCATACCATATGTTTATTAACTTTTTGTTGTGTTTTGTGGATGACTACAGATATTGGGACATGAGTTTCACTAAGAAGAGCTGTACAGCATGCTTACCCCCCATAGCTCCCCACATATACTCATATCACGTGTAGGAATCTGATGCTCTGTCGATGTGCTTGTTTCAGTTTCAGGTGAAGGCAAAGTATCCTCGCTTCTGGAACCTCCATCAAGACTGGGTCTGCGACCTCAAGGGTAGCAAGATCACCGGCTGGCTTCTCTACCACCACAAGAAGTTCTTCTGCGGTAGGTACAGTCTATGCGGAAGGCTTGTAGGCTGGCATGGCGGATATTGACATGTAGACAGAGCTTTACCTCTATTGCGAATGACGCACGACGAAATTAACGTATTAAACATTATTCACAGTTTCTATCCGTTTACATCAAAACCAACCGTATATATTATATGTAGAAAAATAGAATAGGGTGTTAAATTTTAATCGGCAAGCTCTCGAGAATCTATCTCTCTTCATCAGGCTATAAATGTTTTCATCGATCGTTGGCACGTGCGTACGTGTGTTTGCAGACATGATAGACGACTGGTCGAGTAAGTCCCGACCCGACCTGCTACACTTCGTCCCCTACACCTGGCACATCGGCATGATCCTCAAGGAGTTTGAGATCGTCGTGCTGGTCAACGAGTGGAACTGGATCGACTGCTCCTCTCAGCAGCCGGAGAATTGTAAGTGCTGCCGATGTTGTCCGTGGTGTCGATAGATAACTTTACGTATGGAGATAATATGGGGCTTATAGATGACTTAGTGGACTTATACGCAGGTGGAGTAAACCGACTGGAAGGCAGGCGTAGCTAGGAAGGGACTGACACGCAGAGAATGGAATTCTTGGGAAAAAATTTATTAGATTTGTTTTCAAACGTTAGGTGTGTAAATATTACACTCATGTGCGGTTTTTAGTGATTGCAATCAGTTGCTCATATATATATGCTTGTCACTTTTATGTTCTTGGAATGTTATGTTATTTTTTGCATTTGAAGGTCATTTGGCAGTTATTGGAGAGCTGTTTGACGTGTCCTTCAACTTGCCCTTCATTGACTTCCTGCCACCCTCAGTGCCCTTGGTGTTCTGGATACAGGTATCATAATTTGTAGTATAGTTTCATTCTAAATAAAACCCAGCTGCATGTAGTTGGAAAAATACCTACCATTCATTTTTTTAAACTGAATTGCATTAATCTATGTTATAGCCTGTACAATTGCCAAAAAATTGTAAAATATCTTTTAATATATAAGCGTAGGATGTTGACTCATAGATCCTCATCCGTGTAAAAACCGATGATGTGTAGATTACAAACTTATTTGTAGTAGTAGGGGAGGGATTGTTGGATAACTAGTGGCTGCTATAACTGCTCTGCTGTTTGGTTCATCAGGGGGAAAGCATGACAGCTTGTCTGTATCTCCCTGAGTCTAACACGAGCCGGGACCAGGTGCTGGCCCTGGATAGACATGCCAAGCTAACGAACCGCGACGGATCCATCATGGACGACTGGCTCGTAAGATGATCTTATCTTAAAGAAAAATCAGCGTTGGTCGAAAATAGACGGTTTTTCTTGTCCTAATTCTCAAAAATAACGTGTCCGCACTTTTCCGGGGGACGAGCAAACGTGCGTGCACTCATCGTAAAGCATGTGTGATGTGCTATTTCTATACTATGAAACGATACAAAGATTGAAATTCATAGCCAGTATATAAAATATATATAAAGCATTGTGAAATT